CGCTGAGAGAATTATATTGTGAAGAGAAACTAAAGGAACTGTACCTGACGACTTTAGAAGGCTTAGGAGAGACATGACTATGACATACAAGATACTCAAAACCTTTGACAGAACAGATAAGGACAGACGTTTTGAAATAAAAGACATAGTGGCAAGGGGTCACAGATGGAAGCTAAAGACACAAACGAGCCATAGGGACACAAGGAAATGCTTTTTTTTCTGACTCAAGGTAGTTAATGAACGAAATGGGTAAGTGGTAGAGGCAAACTCAATACCCAGCTTCAAGAATAGGTACGAGAGAGGTCCACGAGGCCAGCAACCAATAGTACCAAAGATTGTAGGAGCCAGGAGCTAAGATTTCACCCCTCCCCCGCAAACACTACTAGGTCAGTACACACACACACACACACACACACCCTAGAGTTAAGAAGAATGTCCTCCTAAGAAAGGTTAAGGGAAATCAGCCTGACGACACTGGAGGACAGGAGGGTTAGGGGACACATGATAACGACATACAAAATACTGCGAGGAATACATAAGGTGGACAGAGACAGGATGTTCCAGAGATGGGCACAGAAACATGGGGTCACAATTGGAAGTTGAAGACTCAGATGAGTCAAAGAGATGTTAGGAAGTATTTCTTCAGTCATAGAGTTGTCAGGAAGTGGAATGGTCTGGCAAGTGATGTAGTGGAGGGAAGAACCATACATAGCTTTAAGACGAGGTATGATAAAGCTCATGGAGCAGGGAGAGAGAGGACCTAGTAGCGATCAGTGAAGAGGCGGGGGCAGGAGCTGAGTCTCGACTCATGCAGCCACAAATAGATGAGTACACCTACTCACTATCGTGTATTTGCGCGGACAGTTTCAAAGGGACTAGAGGCACCAAAAATCTACACATCATATAAGAACATCGAAGTATAATGAACACTAGTCAGTATAAGAGTAACCTACATGGGGACAAAGACAACAGAACAGATCTTTGTGTCTTTCGAGCTTGATCCGGGATCATTTTCGGCAGATCTGCCGAAAAGGATTTCGGACTGAGATGGAAATATTCAAGAGAACTAATCTCCTGCCTGTGTCACCATGTGAGTTACCATCTCTTAACACACAGAAGAGTTAGTGCTCGAGTAGGGAAGTGCTTCAAGTGGAGAGAATGGACCTGACTGAAGAAACTAGTTGCAGAAAAAGCTTTTCCTGGACCAACGTTTTGTTCCGTGTTGGTTTTATCAAACAATTGACAAAGTCCTAAAAGACTGAAACGTTATCCCAATAAAAAGTTTTTCCTGCAGGGTGCCTTTTTTTTCAATATTGTCGGCAATGCGCCATTTGGATGGAGAATAAACGGAACCTGAACCATTTAAACTACACTGCAAGAGAGAGGTGTGTGGGGGGAGGGGGGGAGGGGTCCGCCAAGGAATGACACCTACCCATTTTATCGTGGATCAAACCCAATTACCCCTAGGGATTTAGCGCTTTCTCATGAATATAATAATAGTGGACGTACTGCAGTGCTCCATATAAAACGAGAATGTTACCAAATATCATTTTGAGTTTAAACACACCTAGTTGAACGAGATTTTACATAACGCTTTACACAGACTTTATAAGTGACTTTACGTGAGACTTTACATAAGACTTTTTATACAAGACTCTCTCCATAAGACTATACAAAAGACCTACTTTACACAAGGCCTATATAAGACTTTATAAAAGTCACTTTTATGCAAGATTTAATCCAGTTTATACCATGAACTAGATAAAGCCCCACTTGGAGAGAGACGTAATGAAGCGTGTCTCTGCTACATGCACTTCACACTCCGCTGGGCTACACTGTTAGTCTTGTAATAAAGTTGGTAGAATTACCGACAATATGTAAAGTAAAAGGACACTAGTGCAACTAATGTGACATTTTATTGTGGCAGCGTTTCGCTCTCCAGGAGCTTTATCAAGCCATACCCTCTGTGTCCATGTATTGTTTGTAATGGCTTGATAAAGCTCCTGGAGAGTGAAACGTTGCCACAATAAAAATGTCACATTAGTTGCACTAGTGTCCTTTTACTTTACTTACTGTTAATCTTCAATTGCCAATAGTTTTTCCCTCTAATGTAATCAGCTAAACTATAACGCTGGCTTAACATTCACTCTCCCTATAGTACCACTGTTACCTTAATTCTAAAAGGCGGTAAGTAGCTGGGCGAGTTACGTTCCCTGCATTACTTTCTATATCTTTCACGTGATATATGATAAGCGTTGAATGTTTTAAGGTTAGGAAATAAAGCATTATCTTTATTTTTTTGTGGCTTCCATTTGTTACATGTGAAGTTGTAGACTGTAACATCATTATACAAGGTTTTCTAGCAATTGTTACAATACACATAGATTTAAGTGTGAGTGCATAGCCTACAATATTAGTGATCTTTACATAGCTTTTAGGGGTCATACGAAGAATCGTCTTAATAGTTAAATTATGCAATTTTTCTATAGTAATACAGTCT